AACTCTGTGTCTCCTGAACTTCCGCTGCTGTAGGAGTGAGAGGTATGCGACACCGACATTCCTGGCAAGGTCGTTTAGCCACTCAAAGTAATAGCCTCTGCACTAGTCACTAGTCAGACTGGACATGCCAAACTGGGTGGTGGTATGTCAACACATTCCAATTAACAAAGTATCAACTAGGTCTCAATCATACAATAAGTAGATATAGCTGCTGTGGGAAAACGTGCACCTTCTCTTCATGCAAGAACTTATATCCTACTACGACTTGTTCTGAACACATAACCAAGAATGCAAATTGTTGTTCTCTGGCAATCGACTCCCAAGTCCAACAGGATGCTTCCCTCCTGAGCCGCTGCTCATTCCTGGCCAGAAATCCCAAATGCAACATGCCACAGCTGGATCTTAGTCGCTCAAACTCCCTACCACATTTTAAAATGCTAAGAGAAACCAATACACAAGCAAGAAAGAAGCCTCAACTCAGCTTCTGTTACAATCAAAGACTCATATTGTTTCAGCACAAAGTCGTCAAACCCATGTTTATAAAATCAAACAAAACCACTCTCCTGAGCTTCCGCTGTTGTAGGAGTGAGAGGTATGCGACACCGACATTCCTGGTAGCTTTGTTTCCCCAACCAAAAAGAGTTGCCGCACAAAACATAATGCACTTGACAACTTGACACCCCGAAAGCAATTCTGATAAACCCATTCCTGTTAACAAACTATCCTGTTAGTGTAATGAAAGCCTTGCAGCAAAAGGTTTCCTTCTGTGGTGTGTACATATACCACTTATGAGCACTTGACCGAGAAACAATGCAATCTCGCTTTGTTTGGCTCTCTGGCAATCAACACCTAAGTCCAACAGGAAGAATCCTCTCCTGAGCCTCCACTCACTCCTGGTCAGAAACCCCAAATTGAGCATACCAAAGCTGGATGTTGGTCGCTAGATTTCCCATCAAGGTGCAAATACTATATGTATATACTGACAATACACGAGCGAGAAAGGAGCCTCAACCCAGCTTCTACTAAATCCATGCTTCCATGGGTGCAGGCAGCACAATGTCGACAAACTACACCGATGAACATCAACAACGACCAAGATACAAGCTTTAGTCATTCACATTCAACAGATTTGGCACTTTGTCAAAACATGACTACTCAGGAGCAAACATGAGCGCTTTCCCCAAACAAGGCTTGCATCCTCTTTGAAGGCCCTCCACTTTCTCTTGCATACTGTCCCGTGGACGGATGTCCTCCGCTTTCGCCAATTCCTGCCAAGGAATTCTTGACGGTTGCTTGGATCCAGCTCGAGTTGTAAAGAAAGACATCTGGACACTCTGACTCATGCACATGGAGCTGGAACAAAAACTGTCTGTAAAGGAAGCATGTGTGCTTCTTTCTGCGATTCTTCAGAGGGAGAGGCAAAAGGAGATGGACGCTTTAATGTGAAATCGGCAATCCTTCTTGTCATGCGATGTCTGAGGATTTCTTACCATCAATTGTCTCAGTGTACTCAGTGTACTCATAGTCTCATGTCCTCCACTGTTGTAGGAGCTAGATGTCTGGGATGATGTCATTCCTGGCGTGAATCTGACACATATATCAGGAAGAAAAGGCAGCGGCAACGACAATACAAATCAGCAAATACCACGACAAAGACAACGACCGCTACCGCCACCATCACCAGCATAAAAACTGCATTGAAGAGTCTGGTGACCAGTATTGAAATGAAGGTGCCCACCCTAACTTGCTTAAAACGCGACATTGTCGGCGATTGCTCATTAATCAGTCTTGTTTGGACACCAAGCAGCACCTCCATTGCTCGAGCCATACTCGACTCCTGTCCACCAAGGCTTTCAACAATGCAGTCGTGACAACTAGCTGTGAAAGCAGAGTCGTCTCTGGCTCCTGGCCGTACTACTAGGAGCAAGGACGCTACTAGGGGCTCCTGGCATCGCTACTAGGAGCAAGGATGCTACTAGTTACTAGGGGCCAGGCTTACTGCTAGCCCAGCAATTTCCCCCACGTCGGGTGATGTTTGGTGCGCGTCTTCACAGCAAGTCCTCCAGTGGTATAATCACCTGTCACTCTTGCCACGAGAAAGAGCTTTGGGCTGAGACCCAAACGATTGCCAGGCGGTTTTCACCGCAGCACCAGAGCGGTTTTCACTGCTTTGTTGCTTGTTTCGACTCATCAACTTGCCGCACTCTCGAGAACACGGATGGTTTTGTGATGATTTTCATCTCCTGAGAGAGCTTGTTTCGCTCAGTCTCATCTTCCCATCCCAGTTGTCGGGTCAACAGGTCCCCCTACCTCCACTTGATCCATAGTCGGTCGTCTCCATTCCTGGTCAGATGGGACTGCACCATGTCCTTTCTTGTATCTATCGTACTTGGCTGTGGCGAAACGCTGGTGGTTAAGCCCTCTCAACTTGGATGGTCAAACATGACATTAATTCAGTTGATGCTGTGAAATCAGCTATCTTCATAGCCAATCACAAGCGGTGCCAGGATCCTCCATTGTTGTCCGAGCCAAAGCCGGAGTCCATTCCTGGCAAGATCTTGGTCCTTTGTCCACTTGCAAGTTGTTTTTGGCCATTACAATCAAATGTTGAAGTCGTGGCGATTTTCTATATCTGAAGAGTTTCCATTGGGATTTGAATGTATGGAAGTCGTGGCGATGTCGCGTTTGGTTGGAGAGAAGGCAGCAGCGGCAAACAAAACGCCGATTAAGCAAAACCGCGACCCACAAGTGGGGAGACAGGAGGAAGAACAAGTAAGGAGACAAGGCAGCAGCGGCAAACGCCGATCACAGCAACCACGCGGGGAGACAAGAAAGAAAGAATTAAGGAAAGGGGATGTACGCACATACATGATGAGGTAATTAGAGGTTTCTGTTGAAGGTGCTTGTCAAACAACAAACCGACAAAAGAAGCCG